ATACGTATACATATACATATATTATATATGTATATACATACATATATATATACATACGCATACATATACATATATTATATATGTATATACATATATATACATACGTATACATATACATATATTATATATGTATATACATACATATAAATAAGTAAACATATAAATATACATATTCATACATACATATATATACTCATATATATAAGTATACATATACATATATATAGACATAATTTTTACATACATACATATATACATCTATATATATACGTATGTATTTAAGTATATATATATGTGTGTATATAAGTATATATATATTTATATATATATATATATATATATATATATATATATATATATATATATATATATATACTATGTGCATACACACATATATATACATATATATGTATGTATATATATAGAGAGACATATATTTACATACATACACACACACACACACACACACACACACACACACACACACACACACACACACACACACACACACACACACACACATACCATACACATACCATACACACATATATATATATATGTGCATATGTATACACATATATGCATATATATATATATAAGTATACGTATGTGCATACACACATACATATATATGTATGTACATATATATTTACATATATATTTACATATATATACATATATATACATATATATATATACATATATATATATATATATATACATATATATATACATATATATATATATATACATATATACATATATATATATATATATATACATATATACATATATATATATATATATATATATATATATATATATATATATATATATATATACATATATATATATATATATATATATATACATATATACATATATATATATATATATATACATATATACATATATATATATATATATATATATATATATATATATATATATATACATATATATATATATATATATATACATATATATATATACATATATATATATATATATATATATATATATATATATATATACATATATATATATATACATATATATATATATATATATATATATATATATATATATATATACATATATATATATATATATATATATATATATATATATATATATATATATATATATACATATATATATATATATATATATACATATATATACATATATATATATACATATATATATATATATATATATATATATATATATATATATATATATATATATATATATACATATATATATATATATATATACATATATATACATATATATATATATATATATATATATATATATACATATATATATATATACATATATATATATACATATATATATATATACATATATATATACATATATATATATATATATATATATATATATATATATATATATATATATATATATATATACATATACATATATACATATATATATATATATATATATATATATATATATATATATATATATATATATATATATATATATACATACACACATATATGCAATATATATACACATGTATATATGCATACATATATATACATGTACATATGTATACATATGGTTATATATTTAATTATGTATGTATATAGATAGATAGATACATAGAGAAGAGAGCTAAATTTGTCCCGGAGTCGTACTGGCAGAGCTGTGTTTCATCCTCTGTCACAATTCTCGGCAGAAAAGCATCAGAGTCCTCATCCCACTTGTTCAAAATTTCCACTGAAAGATCTACCCTTGTTTGCTGCTGATCTGGGCGCAACAGCCAAGGGACCCATCGAGCGGAATGCTTGCTTTGCCACAAACTCTCCACCAGCATTGTGTGAGCAGAACCCACAGAGATGTTGAGTGTGTCTGCTACTGATTCAGAGGTTATCTGACTATCCTTTTTAATCATGTCGCGAACAGCATCAATGTTGTCCTGACAAACTGACGATGATGGCCTGCCACTGCGGGGCTCATCATTAATTTTGTTTCTTCCACTTCTGAACCGACTTATCCATTTGTAGGTTGTTGATTTCTTTGGGGCATTGTCACCATAAACTTGTTCCTGAGCTGCCAGTTCTGTCCAAGCGTGACGTCATTGTTATGGCTCCACCCATCGTCTGTAATGCGCCTGTGCAGGGCATATTCAACTCAAAAAAATGTCCGGTAGGGATTATATTTTTAATTAATGCGAATTAGGCCGTCTGTCGTAAGTTTATAAGCAGAAAGAATTTATATACTATTATAAAAGTATTATATATAATGATATTGCGGATAAAGAACACGAACATGCTAGATAACTCTGAAAACAATTACTACTTAGGTACTTAGGTCACTCACTGTGTTTGAATAAATTCCACTTGATTTCATATTCACACATACCTCTTGGTGTCTTTACATTAAACGTAAATAATAGCTATGGATGCACATTATAGAGTTTCATATGAAACATGTTATATCCAAATATTTAAATGAATAA